TATATTCTACCATATTCTACCGTATTCCACTGCTCTCACCACCACTTATATATTATGTTATATTGTATTATAGATATGATATGTTAGTGAGATATCTTGCTTGACATGTTTGGAATGGATCTCAGTAGACTAACCGGCCACTAATCAGAACTAAGGCCACAACAGGAGCTGCTGCTGCGTACAGGTTCACCTGGCGAGCAGCCGAACACTCCGGGTTGGACCCAAACAACCCAATCCACGTCCCTCCGTGTCGACTAACAGAACAAGCAACCAACATCCATGCCATGCCATGCCTCTGCATAGTTTGGCACGATGTCTGTGAGAGCATTCGTGTCCACGACACGATTCACCGCTGCCACCTGCGGCAGCATCTGTACGAGAACCCATCCATCCATCCATCCCTCCGTCCCTCCCTCCGTCCGCCCATTGTGTGAAGGGCAGTTTCGCAAGCTTTGGAAGGCTGCTTCTTGGAAGAAATGTGAGTTATAACTGTCCATTAGGTTCAGGTTCAGAAAGACTTACAGAATAGCATGCTTTAAAATGTGTAATCAAATCAATGCGCGCAAGAACAAAAGTCAAAAAACAAAGCAAACAAAAAAACACAATAAACACAAAACAACCTACAGTACTGAAATAGAATCATGCATCTTTTTGTTATCTTTCCTTTTCTTCTTTCTTTCCATACTTTTGACCTTTATAGACTTTAGACCATATCTTGTCTTTTCCTTTCTTTAGACATTGTCCTTTCAAAAACCCCGAAACACGAGTTCCATTCAGATCAACTGCCTCTCTCTCTTCTTCCTTACCGTGCCTTGAAGGTATAGTAGTAGCCCAAGGTGAGGCCGGTCACTGTGTAGGTGTTGGTGGTGGGCAGATTGACGCCGTCCGTTGCATCGATGAAGGTGCTTCCACCCAACCTCAGCCGTGGAGATGCTTTTGGTGAGGATGCTCTTCATGAGTTCATGTGTCAAATCAACAGCAGCAGCTCCGCATCTATTTTCACGACCGGCGAAGGCCTTCCATCTCAACCTGCAACGTTGAACAAAACTTGTCAGCCAAAAGCCACCAAAGCTAGTAACAAGAAGCTCCCAGTAGCTCCTGGCATTACTACTAGTAGCAAGGACGCTACTAGTAACAAAGGGTATCGCTACTCGGAACCCGGGCATCGCTACTAGCAAGGACGCTAGTAGCGAGCGGGGGCCTTGTCGGGCCTTGTCTTCCTTTGTTCATGTTCTTCCCGTCTTTTTTTCCCCTACTACTTGTAGTGAGTCCCTTGTTCCTTCGTTTTGGCCAGCTACCTTCGTTTGGTCCTCACCGCCCCGCTGTCCCGTCGCCTCAACCGGATCGCTGGCACCCAGCTTTGTGGCTTGCACCTGCAGAACACAACCCGAATGGTGAAGAACGACCGGTCGCATAGCATCGAATGGTGAAGAACGCGCGGTTCTTTGCGGTTCTTTTTCGGCTCTGCGACCGGTTTTTGTTCGGTCACCGGAGTAGCTTTAGCCGCTGAACGCCCTGACTGAAGTGAGTTGCTTTGCCGGCCGACGTTCGGAGATGTTCGGAGTCCGAAGTAAACTAAAAGACCCATCTCCATTGCGCGAAGAAAAATGGCCAGTCGAACACATCAAGGTAAGTCCCTTTGTGATTCTATTGGGTCAAGCACGGCTGCTGGGTTTCGACCCATGGTCAAATAAACTAGAGTAAGAAACATGGAAAATACCAAACAAACAGATGGATGAGTAGATGTAGGTTGGAGGCCATGGCTACTAGGGCTAGTAGGAAGGCCATCGCTTCTAGGTTGGAGGCCGTGGAATGCATCGATATCACAGACTTCTGGCCTGGAACGAGTCACGCGGACCCGTTGCTCTTTCTGTCTCATCTTCCAAAGGCTCATCTTCTCCATTCTTGGCCTCCTCGGAGTCTTCTCCAACATCAAAACCATATCAACACCACCATCTGAAGGAAGCACAGCTCAGCTCGCCCTCAAAACAGGTGATTCAACTGGTGATGCACTGATGCACTATGACGGCCTCATCGCTGCATTCACCTTCTTTGTCTGCTACCGTGTATGCACGCTCTTTGGCAGAGTCCGAAGGTTCCTCAGGCACCGGCGGCGCCCGCCCAAACCCAAACCGACGCTGGAACCCACGACCGCATCCGATCACCGATCACCAAGGGGCATGCCATGCACTGCTTCGCAAGAGGAGCAACAGCAAGGGGCCAATCACCGAGAGGATGGTGACCCAAAGCCACAGGACGGGTCCATTGGCGTTCTCAGACCATCCACTGCACTCGCGGCAGCTACTGGGACACCCTGAGAGACCCGGCACAGCACACCTCAGTGCAAGGACACCTCCAGCATGCTTCAGCTCTTTTCAGGCCGGAAAGAAAAAGAAGTTGAAAAACAGTCAAAGAACGTGAAGAAGAATCAAGAGACTTAGGCCATAGGGTCATAAAGTAAGGCCTCAAACGAAGATGCTAAGCATTGCTAGTTGCGCTTTCTGGGCGGAAATCGACTGAGAAACCAACAGGCTTTGGTGTGAAGAGCACAGGTTAGGACCTGCAGAGGCATTGCAAGGCACCGGCGCATCAGCGGCCTGGCCAACTGAAGGTCTCAGGTCTGCCTCTATCCTTAGCCTCCACCCTGCTGGGAATGGCCTCCACCCTACTAGCGATGGCCTCCAACCTATAGAATAGAAACATAGTGTTCGATGTGTTTGATTCTGTTCTTATTTGAATTCATTCATGCTCTATATATCTCTAGAATCATCAAAAGTATCAAAGTGGTGCCGAAATTGTCAGGCCTGGCAGTTGTACCTGCAGAATGCTCCAGTGCCGGGCTCACCTATGTCACAACTACACACGAACAGCGCAGTCGTTATCTCAAAATTTCTAGTAGAAAATTGCAAGTTTGCCCCCCCAAAAGAACAACACATTAAAGGCATCATCTACTTACTCTGTCAAATACAGTGGCACCAAACCAAGACCTGAACTAGGTAATTCAGAATGTTTAGGCAAGCACAAACTGGCAGCCAAAAGGCGGCAAGAGGGACAATCTGGACAGTATGTTTCCAAAAGCACCCCAGATAGCCATCCGGTCGGTAGACCAGCCAAGAACCTCCGGGATCATGAAACGTTTTTGGACATCCACTTCAAAAGTGTCATGTGAACGTCATCCGAAAATTTGAAGATTAAAACATAATTCCAACCACTAAACAAATTTATGATGCCATCCATCTGACATCTGCTTGTCTGAGTTCTTCACTGTGGTGTAAAGGCAATGACCATGAAAATACCCTGAGCGCAGCACTGGTACGGTGGTTGAAAAATCAACATCATGTTTGCAACATTGAACATGTTTTATGAAACACCATCACGAAACGCCCGCTTCGACGGGTAGACATAATTGATGTCGACTGCAATGAAATGTTTTGTCACGACCCGCCGCTTTTACAGAGTATCTGTAGCTGATTGAGGACTCCGTCATGAACAATTTCAAGAAACGATCTGCCTCCTTTCCATCTGGCGACAAATCTGCTGAGTACGTGTTGAAACGCGGGCTCCAAATCACCTGGCAGGCAAATCCTAAACCGGGTTCATGTGTGGTGTTTTGAACCAAAACATGTTTCACGGCGTCATAATGCTATGGCCACGATAGATTTGCACGTTTGTTGTCTACCGTGTGTGTCATGCATCAACTAAATCCAATCACCAACTGCGCGGCCTCACCCACACTCATTGTTGCGAGCCAAGCGCAAGTAGCACGAATCTCAGACAAATCACCGCTGGGTAGGAAGCAGGCTTGCGAAGCCCACAAAAGATTTTCTGAAACGTGGTGGATCAAGCCGGCTTAGGTTGTTCTGACAGACCGTCTGTTTGGGTCTGCATTTCGTTTTGCGTTTTCTAGTCTGGGGCAAGAACCGACACCTCAAAGATCATGAAAGCAGGGGACAATGACATAACAACCTTGGATCCCAAGGGACACTTTAGTGCATCCATGCGTTTGGCAATCATTCCTGCTTGTGTTTTCTAGTCATGTTCATACTTTGTTTCTAGCCCTTAAGACAATTATCGTTTCTTTGAGTCTTCATATGCCTTGGATTTGCCTTTTGGACATGTTCCCCTCTTTAGACCGTCGCTTTTCTGCCCTAATTTTTGCCCTTGGACAACTTTCTGTTTGCCCCGCCCTGCCAGGTGAGGGTTGTTACAGTAGATTTTATCAGAAGTGTCCCGGTCCTCCTCCGCGTTCTCCTCAACCGCGAGCGCTAGATCGCAGTGGGCACCGCCGGGTTTCAGCCGCAAGAGCTGAATTGCTGTGACACCACCGGGCGCGAGCGCCAGATCGCAGTGGGGAGGGTGTGTTTTAAGCTCGACCAGGTTGGCCGAAAAAGAGCTCGACAAGAAAACAGTTCATGCTCGACAAAAAACGAATGCAAAGTCTCGACAAAAGTTGCTAGCTACAAGCCCGACAACCTGAGAAGGGAGGGAACGAAGCTTCACCTACTGAAAAAATTCATCCGTTAACATAAGAATGAGCAATTAAGGAAATGCAAACTCTGTGCAGCCGCTTTTTCACCGGTGCGCTTTGATGGTGGCCACTCGCTCGTCGACCTCCTGCAGGAAAAAAGTTTCCGGATGTGCTTTGCAAGTTTGGGGTTGGGCACACGCAGGCATCAGTCTTGAGCTAAATCGTGCCCTCTATCTGAAGATTTCACAGCAACAAAATCACCAAATGCAAAGCGAATCAGGAAACATGAGAAACAGTGTGCTTTGGAGGAAATGTGTACATCGCACCAGGACCAGCGTTGCGCGCTACTTTGCAAACACCGCTCAAATTCTCTGTCGACGTTGTCTCCCTTTACCTTGTGATTTCTGCTGCTCTTGACATGGACCAGTGGAAAAGGGAAAAAAGCATGAAAAACGTAAAGAAAGGAGTGCAGAAGCGTCTCTCCCTGTGATCCTGTGGAAAAGGAAAAAAAGCATAAAAAGCGTTAAGAAAACGTAAAGAACGGCGTGCAGCAGCATCTCTCCCTCTGATGGCGTGCGAAAGGAAAAAACGTAAAAAAACGCAGACTTCACCTGAACCATGTCACATACAATGAACCAACATCCAGGGTTTTTACCCGACGTCCAAGACTAAATTAAGGATGTTCTTCGTTTGGTTCAGCCTCTTTGTCGTCCGCTGGCTTCTCTGCCATCTCCTCGAGACTGTTGCCGTCACTGAAAATACTCTAGAGTAGCCACAACTGCCGATTGCAGACTTCTTACAGGCTTCCTCCATCTAAATTTAGACCCAAGTCTGGGCTTGTCCTTGGGCTTCACATGTGCATCAGCGGGCGTCGGCATTGCTCTCTTTCCACGCAAGTGACACCTATTTAGTTACATGTGTTTAATATCTAACTGAAAAAATCGAAATTTTCAGGTCAGCTTACAATCTAGATGCTTCTGTGTAAGACATAAGAAATCACTGATCTAGATGCTTCTGTGTAAGACATAAGAAATCACTGAGAAATGATTCATCGGTGAGACCGGGTGAAACCTCAACAGTCGCGGTCAGTGTCACACGTCACACAGCCTCTAAACCCCAACAGCAACCAAGTAACGTCTCTGTCGGACCTTACCCCCTAGTCTTTGTCAAACATAACTTCGTTTCTGTCGTGTATATGGAAAATCTTGTCGATTACCGTGCAAATCTTGTCGGGAAAAGAACACGTGTTCTCGCAGTGGGCACCACCGGACCTGAGCCAGATAGAAAGAATGCCAAAAAGAAGGTCAGCAGCTATGCCAGATAGAACTGCAAAATATACGCCCGATAGATACTACTGTCGGAATATGTGCAAGAAAGAATGTCAGAGTAAAGAGCGTCAGAAAAAATACCGCATGGAATGCAAGAGTGGGGATCACTAGACTCTAGACATCTGCCTTTGTAATCCCCCGCCCTTGTCGCACTTTGGCCGTTGCACTGGCACCTAAAAAGGCTTCAAAGCACGTCAATACATGTTCATCCATCCTCACACATATTCCTTTAGTAGTGCCAACCGGGTCCTGAGTGTTGCTCAGCAACCATCTTCAGCCTGCTCCCAATCTGCAAACTGCTCCCAAGGCCTCTTCTGCTTGTTCGACGTCGATATAGCGGCACCCGGAGCGCATACACAATGCAAGCCGAAGATTCGATTGACGCGCATAGACTTCTTGCAAAAAGGGACTATGGTCGAGATGGAGCCGTACCAGCTGAAGACCGTACAGAGGCTAACCCAATGAAACTTCGAAAGAAGCGCTTGTCGTTCCTTGAGCCTAAAATATCACGTCATGAATCCGGATAAGACTGTTACTGTGATTATGGCTCCACTCTCTCCCGTGCTTCTAACCTTTAGACCGGTCTTTCCTTTCTTTTTGTTTGAAAGACATTAGATCTTTCTTTCCTCCTTTTCCCCTTTTTTTCAGACATATATATAGACATGTCTTGGTCATGTTTTCTTTGGACCTCTAGATCGTTCTCATTCAAGGTATCTTTCCGTTCTTTGATTAATTGTCTGTTCTTTTCTTTCTTCGCTACAAGTATATACTTAGAGCAGGAATGCAGAGTTCATCCGCTTGAAGCAACGCAACGTCTTCACTGTGCTTCAAATCGTTCAAGTCGTGGCCTAAACGTCTCCCTGGGATTTGTGAAACCCAATTTGTCTTGCTTGATCCCAGACCCCCTTTGCATGCGACATGCATGGCTTGCGCGGCTCAGGTGCGCTGCCCAGGAAGATCGCAGGAAAATTCCTGAATGCACCAAGGACACGATCGGATCCAACAAAACATGTCTCGCGACGTCCCAAATGCTGGAGGGATGCCTTCGACATCGCACAAATGGTTGAACCAGAAAAAACAGAAAGCCAGACAAGAAAGCTCTTTGAGACGTGGATCTTGGCTTACTGAGTGGATCAAGGAGGTGGATCAAGTGAAAGTCGCATGTGGTTGATACTGACTCTTGACACTTCGCAATGACAAAACATCGCAATGAAAGACAAACAGGGACCCGAAATAACAGTCCTCCACTTTGCTGTGGCAAGAGTTACCACAGGAGGAAGCAATGCGCAAATCCAGTAGTTGATGCTATTCACAGTTCCCCAGGGTGCCTCAAGGTATGCGAAGGGAGCTGACTGCACGAGTTCTTTCATCATGATCATGAGCTGACTGCACGCAGAGCTCTGCGCAGCTAACTGGGCATCTTGTATTATATCAAATTCGTGTTTCCTCTAAGGAAACGGTGCTTTTCAAGCACAGTAGAGCAACTAAACATGAGACCGTAAAGCGTGCTGTTGAACATGTGTGCTTCCAATGTGTCTAGGTTGGAAGCTATTGGGTTGGAGGCCATTGCTCTTAGATTGGAGGCCATTCCTATTGAGTTTCCTAGTAGGTTGGAGGCCAGCGAAACCAAGGCACATCTTCCCCCAGTTCTCGAACCAAATATTTCGGCATCGTGGCATTCATGTGATGCCACTGTGCTTTGACACCTCAGTATCGCAAGTGTGTCACATAGCGTGCCACATGATCCAGAGACCCTCTCTCTCTCACACAGGTCTCTCTCTCTCTGAATCACCCCAGAAACTATGAAAGGCCATTTGGAAAGGTTAATCACACTCCTCTTGGAGATGAGCATTTCATCCATCCACTGTGCGCGTGCTTTTTTCTTGCGAAAACATGCTCCTCCCTGGTCTCAGGAAATCAACCTGCTGGAACATGTGGGCTGAACTATTACGATTCTGTCGGGCCTGATCTTGGAATCAACGCTTGATGTTTGGGCAATGTGCACTGTGGTTCTGTTCGGCTTGCAATCATATGGCTGGCTCAAAGAAACTCCTATTCAGATAGAGAACATCCCACCCAGAAGATCTCCAACAGGGCTTGCCGGGCATGCCTCTTGAGCTTTTCATGTTCGGGGTGGTGCCAGGGTGGTATCGGGTACCTCTCAAGTTTGCACACCAAGTTCAAATCCAAACACCCCGATGGGCCGTGCCTACCAAGCAGGTGGAGTAGGCTGCCACCATCCACAAGCCTCTGTCATGCCTAGGATGAACTTACCAAGATCTGCTGCATTGCGTTTCCACATGCGAGGAAAAATGGTTAACCACCCTTCAGTTTCCCCAAGCAACAAAATTGACCGACCCCGTTTTGGAAGGGGTGTATCACATCTCACATCTTATGAGGGAGTCGATGCATTCCATTTTGAAGTCTAGCCACATACTGCCGAACAGCATTTCTGGGCCATTTGTTTCTGCAGGACTCTTGCATTGATCGCTGATATTTTAATTACACAGACCAGCTTCCTGACACGAGCCCTGGCACTTATCTCCAGTCATGAGGCAAAATGGACATATTGTCCCGGATAGTGCTGCGCAATGACGCGCCTGACACAAAACGCTCAAATGGATCTGCGAGCTTCCTGAGTCCCCTATGTACATTCACCAGGTCAAAAGAAAGAAACGACGACGTCCTCGTGTCGGCGACTGGGCTAATCCACTCTCATCGTCCTCGTGAATGAGAGTTCAGGCGGAGAACTGGCAGTGTCCTCAAATACTAGTAGTTTCTTGTTACTATAGTAGTAAGAATGCTCCGTTCGTAGCGATGCCAGGAGTCCCTAGTAGCGTCCGATCGCTCCTAGTAGTAAGGCCAGGAGCCCCTAGTAGCTTCTTGTTACTAGTAGCGATGGCCTGAAACCTAATAGCAATGGCCTCATGCAGCGTGTGACAGTCCTCGAAAGGCACATGCTGCTTGCAGCAGCTTAGCTGAGTGGACAAACTTGATGGCAGTGAACATGCCAAAAAGAAAGACAACAAGAGCGCGGCCTCGCAGAACTGGGCAAGAGCGCGGCACCCACAACCCGTTCACTTCTTTTAGGAGAAACATGTTTCGTCCGATTTCGTCCCTCGGGACGTTAAAGCAAACGAAGAATGAAAGCCCATCAACAGGTGCCAACCATGTGTCAACATGTGTGGCCTCCAACCTAATAGCGATGGCACCTCAGTCAAGACTAGGCCTCCACCCTAGTGGCGATGGCCTACAAACGCGATGGCACCAGACCGTCATCGCACCTCAGTCAAGACGAGGCATGCCCGTGTTGGTGTGGCCAATGACCCGAAGACGTCCACGAAGCTATGCGGATCTTTCAGCTGCCAGGTGCGGAAGAGGTCGATGACCACGTCGGCGATCCCACCACCTGGGACATGACCGCGTCATTGTTAAAGCAAGCATGAGTAGTAGAACCAGTGATAAGATGTGATATATATATATATAATATGTAACTATATAAATGACTCGCACTGCCGTTTTCACTGCCAGGGTTTGCACCAAGCGAG